CGTCGTCTTACCAAAACCGAAAGATCTCATCCGGCATTTTAAGCCGTCGTCGTTGCGACGTCTAATTAGTTATGTAAATGTACATGATAAAACTATGTTCTGCTTTCCATGCCTTATTTGCTACCTGAAATACGGTATATGAAAATTCTAAGCGATTTGCTTATTCTTTGAAGACAGAAGATTTAGGTTCAGATTTAATGATTGCTCTACATGACACGGGCACCCCTCCCTTGGCATGCCATCTTGAGAGTGTGAAAGAGTTTACTTACTCCAGCAGCCTATAGGGCATTGCTGACCAGAACGTTGATTCTTGCACCTTCCAGAGTTGCCCATTCCAGATTTGTTGATATGTAGACATCATGCCAAGGGCGTTTCATCTGTAGCGGTACTATGGATGGCATAGCTACGAATAATCTTATCAAATGACGGTTTGCGCTTGTACAGCACTGCCAGAATGGGGATTCGTTCGAATGGAATATTAGACTGTTCCCCTATTGTCTCTAAGTGACAGATCTGAACCAGATCAAAATTCTAAGAGGATCATCGAACAACCTGAACAAGTGGCAAAGTCAACCGAACACTACTGCATCCATTCTCGAAGACTGAGAACACTGAATAAGTTTCCGGAGGTTGTTGTCACTGATACCCGAGAAGATAAATGGTCGTTAGCATGGATGCGTATCTTTTTTATCTTGATACTGCAGCAGGCCAGTAATTCGTTATTACTGATAAACAAACAGAAAACCGTACACATCACATGATAACAACAGGAATCCGATGTAGGTTGTGTGAATTGGACGGCTGTAGGCACGCGTAGAAGACCAATGTTAAAGTCTTTGTTATGGCGCCAGCATTTCGACTACCCTCAGGGCAAACAGTATTTGTTCAAAACACTATTTGTGTTGGGATAAGATTTCCATGAGCAAGACTCGAATGGCGAACTCACATGGACGACCGAATGGAAGACCGTTTTTGGGTGTACTGCAAACCAGATTGCTTATCTTATACAGGACTTGGTATTTTTGTGTTGAAATCCGGAAAAAGTAGCTTACCTGATTAATAGAGAATTGTGACTATTGGAAAAGTCTTCTGAAACAGCTTTTGTGTAAATGAATAGCAAGCGTTGGAAATAAATGACTGAACACTGTTTTCCCTATGAGTGGCCAATGATGGTCGAAGTATTGAACTGAAGGTGGAAAAAATTTATCATTGATCTTCTGACATTATGTTTATTGGCCAGAATCACAACGAGTTTTCGAGTTATTCATCGGCCGAGTCTTGTGTACAATGGCTATTAGGGGTCCTACTGAATCCTAAGTCAAGCGAAATAAACGCATATGATTTTCTGTGACACAACCACTTGCCATCAGCTGCAGCGTTGGTATTGATATGATCAGCTCTGGTTTCATCTTCGAAACCTTTCCATTGTTTCTTCCCTTAGATTCATAGAAACGCTCATTTGACAGGGCAGTTCGTGTGATCAATTCCGGCAGAGTTGTGGGTACCTTAATGGTTTGTTGTCTCCAAACTTGTACTCCATTTTATTCCATGGCATGGTACTTCATCAGGGTGCTGTGCGCGTCTCCAAAGTCTTCTAGTCACTATGATATTAATCACTTCCGTTTATCTCTTAAAAAGACCAAGCATGCTTCTTCCCTTGATCTTCTCCTTCCCTTCGGGGTCTTTTGTCTCTAGTTTCGCTATGCGGTTGCATCGCTTTATTTACATTTTCTTCTAGGCAAGAATACGCACAGGTGACCGTAGTGTTTCTGTTTCTGTCCAGGTCTGGTCGTTGCTTGTACGTGAATGCTTGAATTGGTCTTCAAACTTCAATCCAGTCGGTGGACTATGTGTGGTCTATTTGGAAAGGAGGAAGTCCACCTTCTGAAGGACTGGTTGTTGTGAACCTCATAATACAACTATATTCCTCGCCATACTACTACCAATTCTTTATGGCAACTGCTAGAAAGCTAGGCATCAGCAGACATCAAAAACGTCAGACGTCCCAGACCTTCTGCTTATATGAACAGCGAAAGGCAATGATCACATCAAACAAACAGAGGAAGATGCAGTGTAGAAATTACTGCGGTCTCTAATCCTGACTCGAGAAAGTGATTCGCAAATGTTGCCATATGTGAACTGTTAGACATGGGCGTGGCGTTGTCATCAAATGGATCAGAGTTAGAATAGCGGCATTAGCTGTTACCTCTTTCCTTTAGTTCGTCATATACAAGGTTCATAGACTTTTTATGGATATCTGGGTTTCACGTGGTGTCGTGCATGCTTAGGCCTTATTTGTGTCGTTTGCCACAAGAAATTTCTAAACATATGAGTTTCTGCTTGTTGATTGATTCAAGCCTCAAGCTTTTGTAGTTAAGAGCATCATTACAAAAATGACCTCGGCGTTTCACTTTCATCAGCAGAATCTTTTTTCCATTGTTTAGAATGGTTGGGACACATGTCAAGTCAATCAGTCAGTTTCGATTACGGGTTATCCTTTCTGGTCGCAAAGTCCTCAACTTCGGACAGTGTCTCGAACATTCCCCATCCTGTCCCAAGCAACCTGAGTCTGTAGCACAGTCCGTCGAGGCACTGCCTCAGAGTGTGAATCCGCAGGCACTTCATTCAGTCGCCTTCCTTTCTGGCAACATTGGCGAAACGTGTCTGAGGTATCGTGATTCGTAGCCGTGGACTCTCAATCTTGAAAAGCAGTGGCTTTACTCAAAGGCGTTCTCAGACGTCTGAACTCAGCGATTCGTCTCAGAAAGCCCATTCCAGCCTGCTGTATCCTGGATCGGGGTTTTTCAACTATAGCCCACGATTCAAGGCCAGAGGTTACCCGTTAAGTTGAGTATTTTAAAGTGGTCTGATTTAGACCATGTCACACGACAACCCTCGATTAATCAAACAACAGTATCCAGACAGTTGCGTGAAATAGTGTTCTATGTGTTTTCTCATCGCTGACCTTCTCACAGAAGTCAACATCAATCTCCTTGTACGTATGTAACGTAATTACGTCGTTGTGGAGTGTAACGAGGTTGAGCCTCAGTCTCTAATGATACGCTGACTTCGTTGCTACTGTGAAGTGTAGAAGAGTTTGTTTCAGCTGCAATTATAGCAGTTATCGAAAGAATTGAGCGACAATGCTGCCATGACTGCGTTGCATAGCGACTGACAATTGGATAAGTTTTGCTGGAAGATTTATCGACGGGAATTTATCGTACGATCTGTCGATATGTCATCAGATCGTTTCTTGTGGTTCGACGTTTGGTAAAGCTTAGGGAGCGAAATTGGTCTGGGCGATGACAGCGCTTATGACTTCTCGTTGACAGATTCGTTCTGTGAACCCACTTTTTAAATATTGCCAATTCGGCTCGTCGAGTCCATTGACAGAAACTTTTGAATTTATGAATTATGCAAACATCGCAGATGCAAGTCATAATCTATCAACTCGTAAGCGTCTTGGGAACGAAATTTTGACTCTTCGAGTCAGACTGCGAAGCGGCTGGTTCAAAGTTTGTTTGGCGCACAAATCCTTGCGTTTTGTCCAGCTTTACAGCATGACACGATTTCTCAGCTGTACATATCTACCCATAAAACAACTAGCATCCACAATGTGTCTTGGCTTGTGAGATACGAGCTAAGCTACCGTCATCCGTATTCGGTCTCGACAGAAAGCAACAAAAGGCAGAAATATGATTGAGTAGTGATTAATTTCATTTTGCGCAGTAAAACAAGGGACAACGGCTTTGATATGTCTCTGGCCATATTTTCATATCTTCATTTTGAGTGCTAGCGAATGATATTTAAACTCACAAGCTTTTGCAGAACACCTGCTTTAGATTAATATGCAATTTTCCTTCCAGTCCGACGTTTCAGCTTCTTTCGCAAAAACCATCGTTAGCGACAATTTGCAAACAAAAAATAATAACTGTTATTTGTAAAGTATTCTAGATGATGGCTTCTGCACCCGAAGTCGCATTAAAAGAAAAGTTTCGTGTCACTTTTAAATCCGTTGTTATGCAAATGATGGAGAGTTTTTAATGACACATGATAGCAACACTACACAAATCCTTGGCATGAGCCGCAAACGCTATGCTACCTTTCAACGCGGTGCAACGCGTAACATCGTCGCATAAAAAATAACTGTTTATTAATGGTACAGTAAAAATTTCATAAGGCAGATCTTCAGGTTCACTCGTGCTGAAAAATCTTTGCCGCATAACAGCCAAGCGTTCGCTCACTTTGATCAAGCAAAGAATTCTCATTATATATCACCTCTTTAACAATAACAATATGATAATGATATAATAAACACTGGTGTTATGGGTTTGTTAGCAAACAGCTGGTTTCAATTCCGCTTGTTCGAGTAGCATCCTCCTGTCAATTTCCGGACTTGCGCGGGGTTGCTTACCATCTCCTTGTTTCTAGTAGCGTAAGAGATCGTTTGAGCAGGCCACGGCTGATCATATTTTAGCAGCTGTAATGCATGGTTGCAAAACAGCTTCTCTGGTTGGGTCGAACGAACAGATGTTCAAACACCAACGAAGGCACCATATAACTATGGCCTGCTTAAGCTGCTCTCCTCTATGCTACTAGAGCGAAGAGGACGGTGAGCAACACCATAAAATCCGGAGGTATGAGAGGAGAATGATATCATATCTTTGCTGATTATCTTAAACTACTGAAGTGAATTTTGTTAAATGAAAATGTAGTTCAAAGTTCACCAAATCCTTTAGTGGATGATACAGCACAGAATATCTTATATATGCAAATTATCCAAAGTTTCAGATCATGTTTGATCTGTCTTCACGAAGAGAGATATTATAAAACAGGACGCTATCAACGTAACAACTGTGATACACTGTTTTGCACTGTATTTCTCCATGACGAAAGATTAAACATGATCCGAAAGGGAGAATTAGTATGTAATGCATTCTATGTGCCGCATCATTCTGTAAAGGACTTGCCAAATTTCGAATTTTCGTTGATTGTTGCTTGAAAAGATTCATTTAACAATAAGTTTAATTTTTGTCCGTGTTTAATACAAAGACCCAGCCCTTATAAGCCTTAGTCTAATGCCTACTTTTTGATAATTGATCACTGTAGGTGACCCTGTCGATGGGCACATGCGTTTTATTGTTATACTGGCAGTAACTGCTCAAACTTACTGTATTTCTGACTTTAGACCTTGTGTGCTTAAACTGTAAGAAATTAAACAGTGGTTATTCAGTCAACTGAACATCGGAGTCGGAACCGAAAGATCCAGCCCGGTCTCTGTCTTGGCTCTCCTCCAAAGTTGATAATGAGTACACACTCGATTGGACAAAAACAAAACTGCCCGCTGTGCTTCCCGCATAACTACTGTTGACTCAGCTCCTGGCTGATTACCACAGGAGAGGAGATTTTAGCCGGTCCATAAACTTCATGTAAAATAAGAATTTCGTAAATGGTCCCAAACCGAGAAAGTGTTAGTGATATAGGAATCCCAGCGGATACATATCATACGTTCCTTTTCCTTTCACTGTCTTATAATATGTATAGAAGTCCGGTTTGGTTAGATATGCAGAAAGGGTGTGAGGGACAGAAAGGATGAAAGCGAACTTATTTGTTTACTAGAGTATTTGAGGAACGTTGTGTTATAGTCAACTTAAGTAACTTAGTTCAAGTGAGGTGCGTTTTCGAATTCTAACAGAATGCCTCATAATGAAGGTATTGTGTCAATAACTGGTTCAAGGGCAATTCAGCATCATTATAAGTTATCCACTGCCTCACTGATTCCTAACCGCCGTGCGTTGCAACAAAACGAAAATTATTTGTATTAAGTTTTGCAAATAACGAATTTTATATATATCGCTCGCCGTTATTCAAGCCCACGTTATTTTTGTGGCAGTGTTTCCCCCAAAGTTATGGTGATATGGTCAAGGAAACACTAAGTTCATGCAATATCCTACAGTTCAATTCGTTTTAATATTTCTACAAGGCAACGCTGACGGTCAGACAGCTTAATGTTATTTGCGTGGCTGGTGGTTTCTGCTATACATTGCTTGCTTTTAGTTTAAAGTACAGACTCCCCCTGCTAGTCACGATCCACATCATCTGTGCTCTTGCCCATTTCAGAAGCCTTGTTGCAAACTGCTTCAATCACGTTGCTGCCAGCTACAAACGTTCGCTTCAAAAGAGCACGTGTCTTTTGCCAAATAACGTGCTCTAAAGACCTGCGGCATTCTTTCGCAATTCATTTACTGTACAAAACACTTTCCGCAAAATACTATATAGATATGTAGCCATCGAGAGCGTCGAAATGTATCAAACTCATATCGTACGATCACCGATTCGATAAACGAATCCTCAGCACTTTTGATCTCTTCATTCTGTCTATTTGTTAACGTCGAGCAGCGTATTACCGTATTATTCATCCAGTTTTCTCCCTCCAAGTCTACCAGTGAATGCCGTAGACGGTGTTTGGCTGTAGTTCAGCGAATGTACTGGCTGTGTCACGTGGCTGCGCCCTGTCAGAGACTGATGCGCCAACACTTTTTCGTGTGAGCGACGCATGTGCATTTGGCACATCGCACTTTGCTGATGTGTCGGCGAGGGACAAACGAAGAAATTCTCTGACGCCGAGTTGGTCGGAAGGAGAAGACGCAGTTGCACATCTCCTAGCGCCCCGTTTTCTTCTTTCCCTCTTGACCCATGCTTTTGGTCGAAAAGTTCGATCGTCCGGTGGTGTTGCTTTCGCCAACCAACAAGAAGAACGCCGTCTTGTTTGTGTCCAGGGAAGACAGCAGAGCGGTGGTTCTCGCTGAGCAGTGATCTCGTACGGTAAAAGCCGAAAGACGACGTCTCCAACCGAGCCCTGCTCGAATGTTTCTTACCGTACCATTTACCGTAGTGCGTAGGCGCTGATGCGGCGCGGTTTGTCTTGTCGTTCGTTACTTTTGTGAACTCGTACTCGAAACCTGTGTTCTGTTGAAAATCGTTCGTGAAAAATTCCGTGTCTCTTATTGACAAGTTCTCGTTAGCACTGTCTGTCGCAGAATGATGTGTAGCGCTCATTGTTTGTGATTTCAGCCGAAGCTTTGTTTGTTTTCAACTCATTGAGATTGTACCAGGAACTGTTGCTCAGTGAATAAAGCGTAAAATCGCCTTTGTCCAGTCCGTCGCGGCGTTCGCGTTACACATGCAGTACAACTGCCTGAACATCGAAAAAAATTACATTCCTTTCCCACTTTACCTGTACTAACCAATTGTATCTTGCTTAAGCTGAAACGAAATTCGCTCACAAATATTTTCCATTTCAAGTCTCCAGCGAAACTGCTTCAGAACCATACAGACATAACATAATAAACTATCTCGGTGGTCGAGCTTCTCTCCTCACACTTACGAGTTGATAAATGAATTGCATCTGTGAATTGAATACTTTTGAATTGTAATCTCTTGTTTGTTTACAAATTACCTTCGGTAAATTTTTCCTTTCTCAACAAGAAAACGTTCGGTAATTAGTTTACCATCTACCGTTGCGCTTTTCACCTTCGAACATAAACACAAGAAATTTACGGTATATTTTAGCTGAGACGTCAAGAAATTTCTTAGGTATGTGCTTTCGTTATCGTGCCTTGTGATCGTACAGGTATACAATGTTACCATTGTGTCTTTTCATTTTTAATGGTTAATGGCTGTGTTGTGATAATTAATGCTCATAAATACACAGGTGAGTTTCACCTCCGAAGTTCCTCTGGCTTGAACGGTTTTCGATTTGATTTG